TTACTCCCAAGGAAGTGTGCATAGGACGGCAGCCTTAAAAATACTACCGGAAAATCTTAGGAGGCGTTTTTCGGATGTAACTTCCACCGAAAACAACTCACTTTGTGCTCAGAACATGCTTTGTTTTTAATCCCAGGGTCCGTTAAAAGACATATCCAGAACACAACCCGTCCCAAGCGATGCACTTGGAAGTCCGGTTGGTGTCAATGGCATAAAATCCGAGCACGTGGTTTAAGGGAAATAAAGGGAGCTATAAGGCGGCAGTAGGAAACATACTTATGAGTAAGCCCAATTGAAGACACTGGGGCTGACTTTCCAGTAACCATGATTGATCTGTAATCTGTTTAAATTTAGCTAGAAGTTGCCCAATGAATGGATCAACCCGCATCGCCACCTCCTGCCTCGGGAAGGCTCTTTGCTTCCTTTGAGGTCTACATATTAAAATCCCATAGTCCAACTGTACTGTTATTAAATGTTTTAAACTGTCACACATAAAACGATTCATTGCTATGTTGTTCATCGATATTAAAGCTGAAAACTTCGCAAAGTACAAGTGTTTGCCGTTGTTATTATTTCTATTGCTATTATCATCATTCGCAATCGAAAGGTGTTGTGTTCAACATTCCTTTTTTAAAAAGAAAAAAAGAAAAGCAAAGCTATATATTGACCTTAAGTTGGTCTCTTTCAAGCAACACGTACTATTTTTCTGGTATTTTGAAAGGCCCAATATGCTGGACCGCAACATTTCTCTTCGAGGGTAGATAATGAAAAATAAAACACGACTTGATATTAATTTTATTTGGTCATTCCTGATTCTCCAAAAATGATATCCGATAGAACTCACGTATAAAATATTTTTTTGTTTTTTTGTTTTTTTTTTTTTTTTTTTACAAATGCATTTAAAAAATCAGATGACATTTCGAGTTCATAACAAAAGAAACAAATCTGTTCTCGGTGGAAGAATTCTACTTTTTTGTCTGTGTGGGAGGGAACCCAAACCTTTATTTACCCTTTTGTACCCTTTCCCACCTTCTCCAAGAGTTGCTGAAAAAAGAAAAAGAAATCACAGCTTTTGGAAGTTGTCGTACGTTTAACAGCCAGGCGTCTGGATTCACAGGTTTACGGCCCAAAAGACACGGGTTTGGATAAAAGAGTAATAATCACGGGCAGGGCAAGATCTCAGCTTTAAATAAATTCCCCCCTCCCTCTAGTCTGGCACACATACAGTCAAATACCATACTCACTGAACAGCGGGGTTGTGCCCTACTCAGAGAAGACCCAACGAAATTAATGATATTGACTACATTCAATTTCGATGGGTCTACCGTGAGCAGGATTTAGTTAACTACAACCATATTGTAGTTTAGTTAACTATAACCAGCTGAAATTATTCGTGACATGCAGCGCGAAACTACAGAAAGTTTTCTCAGAAGTAAATGCCATCGACTTCAACGCCGCTCAGCCTTAGACGCAGCCCTGCGTTTACTGACCTGCGAGTAAGTTCCAGTGAACTAAATGAGGCTTACTTCCGAGTCAAGGTGCCTTAGGATTGGGCTGTCGTCACGAAGGACTTTAGCTGGATCGGGGTCAGTTTGGTGACTTGGAAGAAGTCGGTGGCCAACGGTCAACTCTACTCAGAATACAGGGAAGAGATCCGTGTATGGTATTTATTAACCGAAAATAGAAAATAAACATTTTTCCTACATCATTAAGTACACATATATGTGCACATATAAACCGGAAGCTACTCTGGCTAGGTTCGCTCACAGATATTTTTCAGAGGAGCAAACTGTTTCAAAAAATAACTTTTGAAGTCCCGTCCCACCCCCGTGCTCCGTTCAAACTTGGTCTTCAATTTTCTGCACTTATACCGAACAAAGGTCAAGAAACACACGCAGCTAATATATAGTTCATTTTATTCAGAGTATCCATTTCCACATAAGACCTATCTTATAGTAAGGATTTCTGAATTTAGCAGAAAAATACAACTCTCGATTTGTTAAAAATTTTTGGTAGACTCTTTTCTGTCTTGGTTTTTGTCTAAAGGCTTGATGCCTTGATTTTAGTTTAGTTTAGTTTAGTTTAGTTTTTTTTTAGCAGCCGTGTTTCAGGAAAAGAAAAGGGAAAAAAAGGGAGGGGAGAAACCTCGTAAGAAAAATAAGTAATAATTATTAATAATAATACTTTTCTGTTTGTTTTTTTCCAGGTTTGTTTTATTTGTAGGTGTGCTGGGACAGATCTCCCTGTTGAAGAGTTTGGCGTACAGAAATATTTCTGATGGAAATTAAAAGAATATATATATATATAATTTTTTTTTTCTTAAGAAAACATCAAGAAGATCCAACCAAGGAGAATGCTCAGCAAACATGGACAGGTAGATAATTCAGTGACACGTGGTTGAAATTCGTAGCCATTTTGCCCCCCCTCCCCCTGTGTATTAAAGAAAATATTTACAAACATCTTCCTCATTTTTTTTTTGTTGCTGCTGTTTGTTTGCTTGCTTTTGCGTTAAGATCTAAATACAAGTAACGTGACAAGGACTCGGTGTGTTGGGGTGTGTGTTTGTGTGTGTGTTTTGTGTGTGTATCTCCCTGTGTGTGTGTGTTCGGTGAAAAAACAGGCAGTCCACTGTGCGAAAATCACATCCATCATTCACAAAATAAAAAAGGGGCGGGCGGGCGGGAAAGGAAATAAATCGCTGGAAACTACTGCTCTAAGTTTTCTCTCTTTTTTTTAGTGCTCAGTTGCGAATGCATAGGACGTTTGCTCTGCAAACAATGATACGAAGAGAAAGAAAGAAGGGTAAAAAGAAAAAAAATGCCTTCGACACGCGTTATATAAATTATTAAACCATAAATACTCGCATAAATAATTAAATAAATAAACAAACGAACAAGCAAACCCCCCCCCCCAAGACCTGATCATGGAATCTTTCTGCGCCTTCTCAGGACATGACATGCATAATCTCAGTACCTCCCCCTCCCTCCCACCCAACCCTGAACCCCAAATTTCTTTTTATAGGTATTATATTTTCCCCTCGAAAAAAACCTCTTTTTCACGTTAAATAAATTCTTCTGGAGATTAAAGCATTTCCTGTAAAAGATTCAGAACTCGCCGCTCCCTCTTTCTTCCTCTTGTCTCCCTCCCTCCCGCGCCTTTCCTTCATTTTATACCCGGCTACCATTTCACAGAAGTTAACAGCCCTCCGGTTACGGATGGTTGTTGCCCAAGAAAAAGGAGAAAAAAAGAAGAAGCAAGAAGTCACGATCCTTCAGAAACTAGAACTCTCCTGGCCCTACGTGGGAAATCGTATCAGTGCAAAATTCCTTGGTCCTCAACATTTTGTCTATCTAGCTTTTATTATCGAGAGGAAACCAAACACGCAAACGCCCCGCGCGCGCTTTCCTTCACCTCTTAAAATCTAAACACCCATCCGAATTCTTTGCGGTGGCGAGTTTCACAATAGGAGTTCGGGTTCCCTTCCTGGGTTAAAAAGAAAAACCTCTTCCAGTAGAAACCTCTGCACCCTTAACTCGGAAGTAAATCTCACTGGACTTGCGAACGTGCAAGGAAGGGCGCAGAGGTTTGCAGGAAAAACCAACAAACCCAAAGCAGGACTTTCCGTACCTGCAGGAAGCTAAATTGACCGGTGGGTTAAAGGTGATGCTAAAACGTCCATTCAAACGAACCCGCTTCCCAACACCAGGTACCAGAAAGGTCGTGGAAACACAGTTTTGTTTTGTTTTGTTTTGTTGTGCTACATGTCTACCCGGGCGCCTGAAAGGGAAGGGGGAATAAATAAAAGCGAGTGGGCCACGACTTTTGATTTGTACGCTGCTTGTTTCCAACAGAAAATACAACGAAATAAAACAACTTAATGATTCCCCCCCCAAAAAAAACTTTCGCAGGGTAAGGAGGGGAGGTTGTAGCTTCTGAAACAGAGACGCTCTTTGGGCAAAATTCCTCACGACAAACATCACCAATAATCTAGGAGGACTCTCCTTGCTAACCACGTCTCCTCCTCGCCTAACCGCAGGCCTCCACGCCCCCCCCCCCAAGTCGCCCGCAATCCCAAGAACATGGAGCGATCCACATCGGTCAACTTCGTTAAAAAGGAAAGAAAATAAATAAAGAAAGAATATATTCAAAGAAATAAACAAATTGTGGGAAGGAGGGACAATGACGCGGAGGGGGGGGGGCATCGAAAAGCAAAAAATGCAGGACGAAAGCAAAACACGCCATGAGCAGCACATCTTCACCCCCCCACAACCCCCCCCCAGCTTAGGTTTCTGCGCTCTCTGCCCTCCTGCTTCCAAGCAGCGATTTTGTACAAATCCTTCTGGATGGGATCTTGCGCGCGCGCAGGCGCGCCCGTCCGTCTGCAAAACATCTATGTGCATGGAGTTAGGCTGCAATTCGCCTTCTCTTTCCAAAGGGATCACACTCAAAAAGTGAACTCTCTATCTCTCCCCCCCGCTCTCTCTCCCCACGCCTCCCCCCCACGCCCCGGCCTTTTAGACGCACACATGTGTTTGAGCTTATTTTCGGAATGCTTCGTTTCTCTGAAGCGACTCGCTTTTCGTTTGATCTGTGCCCCCCCTCTCCCCTCCCGCCCCCCTCCATTGGTCCTCGGTCAGTCCCCAAGAGGTCGCCTCCTCCCAAGAGTCTCTAGTCCAAACGAGAAGTCCGTGGGGTCCCCCAACTCAGCCCCTCTCCACGCTCCCTTGCCTTTTGCGCCCCTTCTACAAAACAAACGAAGCCCCCCCCCCAAAAGCGCCCCTCCTCCCTCTTTCCCTCTCCATTCTCTGGGGGAATTTTGACTGCGAGGGCCTTTTGTCTTAGGTCAAAGGTTGTTTTTTTAATTTTTTTTGCTTGGGTGGGATCGGAGAGGCGGCCAGTTATTATTTTGTCTGTCTTTCTCTCTCTGCGTGTGTGTCTGTGTCTGTCTGTGTGTCTTTTTGTCCGTCTGTGTTTTTGTTTTTTTAAATTATTATTTTTTTTCAGTAGGTGGCGGAAAATTTCATTCTCTTTTGCTTCTGTCTCTGGTTGCAAAACCAAACCCTCACCACGTTCTTTTTGAGGTCCAGTTTCTCGGCGATGGCCGCGATCTTCTCGGACGAAGGCCGCGGCTGCACGGCGAAGTAAGCCTCGAGGGAGCGCTTCTCGGGCGCCGCGATGGAAGTCCGCTTGCGCTTCTTCTCGCCCCCGTTGAAAAGCTCGGGCTTGTTCATTTTCTCGCGCTGCGCGCCCTCGGCCTCCTCCAGCCAGGCCTGCAGGATGGGCTTGAGCGCGATCATGTTGTTGTGAGACAGCGTAAGCGACTCGAAGCGGCAGATGGTGCTTTGGCTCAGAGAGCCCACGCCGGGGATCTTCAGGTTCGCGAGCGCAGAGCCCACGTCTGCTTGCGTGACGCCTAGCTTGATGCGCCGCTGTTTGAAGCGCTCGGCGAACGCCTCCAGCTCGCGAGGGTCCGTGTCCGAGTCGCAGATGGACGCCAGGCCAGCGGCGCCCACCGCCGCAGCCGCAGCTGCAGCCGCCTGGCCGGCCGCGCTGCCGCCGTGGTGCGCCGCCACCAGCCCCGGGTGTGGCAGCCCCGACGGCATGTTCATGGCGGCCGCCGGGTGCGCCAAGTGGCCCAGGCCATGCATGTGCGCGTGCGGATGCGCCGAGGTGGAGATGAGGCCCCCACCTCCGCCGCCGCCCCCGCCGCCTCCTCCGCCGCCGCCGCCTCCACCTCCGCCGCCGCCCGCCCCGTCGTGTCCCCCGCCGCCGGTCATGAGCGCCAGCGAGGGGGAAGTGATGTGTTCCAGCAGGTCGCCGGGCTCCAGCGCTTGGTGGTGGTGATGGTGGTGGTGGTGATGGTGGTGACCCAAGGGCACCGTCGACGTGGAGGTGCACGGCACGCTGTTCATGGTGTGGTAGGTGGCGTCGGGTTTGAACGGGTGGCTCTTGCCCTGCGACACGGCGATGTCGACCGCCGCCAAAGCCTCGGCCCTCGCCAGCAGCGTCTCGTCCAGGCTGGCGAAGATGTTGCTCTGCAGCTGCAAGCGACAGGGGAAGAAACGAGGCGGAAAGGGGGCAACGGGGCCGGGAAGGGGGAGAAGGGAAGGGACGGAGGAAAAAAGCCATGGGGGAAAAGAGAGAGAGAAAAATAGCGTCAAAACAGGGAGCAAAAGAAGAAGAAGAAGAAGCAAAGGGGGCCGAGGAGGGAAGCAAGGGTCAGGTTGGAATAAAGGAAGGATGAAATTTTAAAAAATGGAACGGTGCAGAAGAAAGGAGGAATGGGATAAAAGGAAAAGTTGTTCGTAAATGTATTGGAGAGGGGTGAGCAGGTCGGAGAGAAAGGAGGGGAAGGAGGAACGGAAGAGGAAGGCAAGGAGAGGGGAAAGAGGCGGCGCACCGAAGGAAGAAACAGGAGAGCATAGGAATGTAATTGGGGGCAGCGGAGAGAGAAGGGTGGTCATGTTAGGACAGCATTGGGGGGGAGGGGGGGAGATGAATGGGAAGATCAGAAGAAGGGAATTGGCGGCGGGGCGGTGGGGGGGGGGAGGAAGAGAGGTTAAGCAACAGGAACGCCGAGAAGTTTTTTTAAATATATAGGTGCAATTGCCCGAGGAGAAGGGTGGCGACTGGGGGAATCCGAGGCTGTGCCAGGGGCGGCGGATGCAGGAGTAAGAGAAAGTGTCCGAGCGAGGAAGAAGGGACGGAAGGGAGCTCAGCCGCTGTCGGCTGGGGCCGCCGGGTCTCTCTCTCTCTCTCTCTCTCTCTCTCTCTCTCTCACACACACACACACACACACACACAGAAGCACATTCCTTTCGCGGGGAGCGGGGAGATCGAGTTCCAGCTAGGACCCGGGAGCCAAAGTGATGCAGAGCTGGAGGGAAGCCGCGCGAACCCCTGTTCTTAACCCTGGATCTGCAGAGAAGGGGAGAGAGGGAGGGGACGCGGCTGGATCCATGCAAGAGAGAGAGAGAGACTGAGCGGGAGGGGGGGAAAGCGGGAGGCAAGGCGCCGGGAGGGCGAGCGGGGAAGCCCGGCTGGCGGCGGGTCCCTTACCGGCGGAGTTGGAAGACACGCTCTCCTTATTGCTTCGGAGCTGGAGTGCAGCGACGGGTACTTGTGCTCGGGGAGGGTGGGGTGCATGGCGAAGTGCGGCTGCTTGCTGTTCATGGACATCATCCTGAAGGCTTGCGGTGGAACAACAACCAAAAACGAAAAGAGGGAAGAAGAAGAAGGGAAAAAAAACAGAGAGGGAGAAAGGAAAAACAACAACCCCGAAATCCACCCAAGGCGCCGCAAGAGTGCGGGGAGAAAAGAGCTCTCCTAGCGCCGGAGCTCAACGAGGCGGCGGCGGCGGCGCATCCGAGGCTGCTTGGCGCTTGGAGCTCCCCGGGAGCGCGCACGCCAAGCCTCCCTGCAAGCCTCGCCGTCTGACTTATCTGCCTGCTCTATCCCAAGGCTGGCAGGAGATGCGCTCGCCTTACACCTGAGCCCCACATCCCGTGGCTCCCCGACCGGCTCTCCCTCTCGCGAGAACTGGCGACGCCAGTTTTGATAGACTGGCCCGCTCTCTCTCGCTCTCTCCTCCTCCTCCTTCCTCTGCCCGCTCCCTCCCTCCCCCTCCCTCCCTCCTTCTCTCCTCCTCCTCTTCCCCCCGCCCCCGCAGTCGCATCTTCCTTCTCACGTCTAACCAGAGAGCCGGAGTCTGCCGCTCCGGTGACAAAGGCCAAGGCAGCTGCTGTTACACCTGGAGCTCCGACACGTGTGCCGCTGGCACACGGACAGATGTGCTGATGTGTGTGGGGGGGGGTCTAGGCGCCGCGCGCGCCCGGTTGTGTGTGTGTGCGCGCGCCCTCCCGCCCATAGACTCCATTAGGAGGAAGCATGTATTTTTCTAGCGCCAGAAGAGATGCAAAGCAGCGGCTGAGAGCTGGTTTAGCGCGTTTGGATACCTTTTCTCGCTCTCCTGGTTTAAAAGCAGCGACGGGCTTCTCGCAGAACTGCGCTTTTTTGTTTTCGGTTTGCGATTTGTCCGTTTCCTGGTTGCTGTTGGCCAAACCAGCCATTAACTGTGTCGTTGTAGCAATAGGTTGTGTGAATGTGGTCAAAGCATGGTTGTGTTCTTTAAGTTCTCTTTTGCTGGAGGCGAGTCGTCCTGGTGGTCCTATTTCTCTGGGCCCGTCCTGCCTAGCCGATCCACAACTCCCCCCCGGAAAGAAGCGCTTGAAGGGTAAGCCGAACTGGCTCCATCGCCTTCCACAAAACGATTGTCCCGTCGTCGTCCCCACCACCTCCCTTCCTAAAACAAGCAATTCTGGAAGTAAGTTCCGTTGAAATCAGTGGGGTCTGCTTCCCGGCGAACGTGTTTAGCTGGGCTGGGACTGTAAGACGGAGAGCCCTCATTCTCCGATGGGGTCAAGGGGACTTCATGTAGGAATGTATACAACCCACACTTCACAAAGAAGTCGGTAGGGTTTTCCTTCTCCCACGTCAACAAGCCGACAGGATCGCGTTAGCTAAATCAGCTGGAGTTCAGGGTTCTATGTTTAGCCGGGTTGTCGTTGCGCATTGGGAATTTTTATTTTTTGCTGCTGCTGATTTCTTTAAAAGGGTTCCTTTAAAAGCGAGACTTTGCAGCATTTCTGTAGATGCTATTTGTCTCTTTGTGCTTCGGGAGGCGACATCTTTCGGGAGGGCATGCCTCTTCGAAGAGACTTCTTCTCATCTGTAATAATGTCATTTGCTAGTCACCGAGTCACTCAGCCCAAATGCAGGCTGCTTTAGGAAATCAATAGATTCCTGTTTGGAACGAGTCTCCTAGAAGGTTTCACACACACCCTCGCTTGTGTGTCTGAAGGACCTCAACCTCATTGATCTCCATGTGCATTCAGACCCACGTGGCATCACCTGGGTGCTGAGCGTCCACTCCCGCCCCTCGGATGGTGCTTTCTTGGTGCGGGGCAAAGACACGGCTCTTGACAGTGCAGACGGCTCAATTGAACCCGGGAGTCCAGACAGACTGATTCGAAAAATACGCGCTCTCCTGCACGTTTACAAAGGGAGTTTGCTTACTCCAGGGAGCGTTAAGGAAGGAAGGGGTTAATGGAGAATAGGACTGGAGAGAGGGAGAGAGGGTCTGTTCCTCGGGATCTAGCAGGAGCACACTTACTTGGAATCAAATTCAACTGGAATGAATGGGGTGTGTACGTGTGTTTAGAATTTCTCTTGTTGTTGTCAACTCACCCACCCCAATTCCCGGTTTCGCTTCCACTATTGTTGCCACGTGATTTATTCATGTAGAGTACTGCCCCTAAGGCATATAGAGTGAAGGCCATTTTTGCTTCATGCAACCTTACAACTGCGAGGCCAGCCCCTACGTTATCCCCATTTCCGTGGAAGAAAAACTGAGGCTGAGCGGGCGGGAAGGCGGTCTTGGTAAGCCAAGTCTGCAAACGGATCTGAACCTGTCTCCATCGCTTAGACGATCCTCCACCTCCCACGCTATATATTCTAAGCAAAGGACCTTAAAACAGTGGCGACGACTTTCCGGAGTGACAGGAAGGCAGGGTGTTACGAATTGTTCTTTTTGGTGGCTTGCTCAGACGTTTGAATGAGGCCTCCGCCAAGCACCCCAAGAAAGAACGGCTCTGTACAAGCTGCGACACCCCCACCCCCCACTTTATCTCAGCAAAATTCCACCGCAGGCTGTAAAACCAGCCTTGCCTCTGAGTAATAACACAAGATAGATATGTAAAATAATTGGAGAAGGAGGCGTCGGCGGCGGGTCTTCAGCAAGGAATCTGCGTCCCCCGCCTCGAGTCCTCCTCCAGGAGCAGTGGGCGAGCCGCATGTTTCTGGCGCCGAGATTTGTGTACACACACACCCGCCCGCCACGAAAACCCACATTTTCCATCATGCGCCTTCCCCCTGTTTTCTCCCGCAGCCAGAGAGGCTATAGCGCTCATTAATTTCTGTCTCCATCCTTGAATGTGTCCCGTGGGGTTCCTGGATTCAAATTTATCTCGGTGAAATATGTCCTGGGAACTCAAACATTCTGATCTGCTGTGCATGGAGGGCTGGCATTATTTATCTTGCTGATTCTCCTATATGATGGCTAATTATTGTTCTCTTATTAGAGACGTCTGCTTGGTACGGGCTCGAGATGCCTTGTCTTCGGAGCCTTGGTGCACATATTATGCCTCACTCGATAGCTTGGAACAGGCTGAGTTGTAAGGGATCCATTCACCAAGAGTAATGTTGGGGTTTCCTGACCGCTTGGCGAGGGTCCTTGGAGAGATCTGGAAAGCCAGAGAGCTTGGGGGCACACCACCGAGGCAGAATGGCTCAGTCAAATTGTTCGCCTTGCGGGATGTTAAGGGTGAAGACAGGCGTCTTAAGGGTGAAGACAGAAGCGTTAAGGGTGAAGACAGACGTAAAGTATTAACTGTGGTGGAAGTGCTTTAGACACACAACTGCTGCCTTCCTGGGCATGTACTCTTTTCAAAAGAATCCCCACACACTTACAGTGCCAACCTGTGCATATCTAGGCAGGAGCAAGCCCCATTCAGTTCAGTTATGGGACTTGCTCCCCGTTAACTGTGCAGAGGATGGCCGCCTTAGACTGTCTTCCCCGCAGATCAAAAGCTTTTCCAGTAGACCTTGTGGATCTGAATCACTTCTGGGACATGACTCTTGATCTTGAGTTGGGAAACGCAGTTGGGAAATGTTGGGTGTAAAGCCTTTACTGTTCTAAAAAAAAAAAAAAGAGGGGAGGGGAGCCAGTGTTCAGAGGATGCAGAGAATTTAGTCGTGGCACAGAGATTACAAAAAAGAACAGAGAAAGCTTTGGAAAACCTGCTAAGTCTGTGTGTGTGTGTGTGTGTGTGTGTGTGTGAAGACACAAAGCGGAAGCTGGCTCTGGGGGAGTATTTGTAAGACAAGAAGCATGTCCTTAGGTTCCTTCATTAAATTTGTACTCTTTCCCTCGCTATAGATGAAGTTTTTGCTTTTGTCTTGGTTTGCATCAGAGGATATCTCTATCTTCTGAACCCTACGTTCAACCCTAAACATTGCCATTGGGTTTTCCAAGGAATGACCTACTACTACATAATGTATGTGAAACTTTTTAGTAAGCGCTGTACAAATGTTTCTTCTTCTTCTTCTTCTTCTTCTTCTTCTTCTTCTTCTCACCCGCACCAAGCATACTGCAAACTGAAGGCCAAAGACTATTTTGAGGCTTTTCAGGAATTTTCGGTGCTGGACAGCTCCCCGTCCCGTTCTGTCATCGCCTCTCCCCAAACCACTTGCCCATAAAGGACAGCTGTAACAACGACATAGTGTTTCCCTTCGATCAATTTGCCTGGGTGTAACTTTAGACAGCCTTCCCACTTACACAAAATTCTTCGCCAGAGACCTTTTCTACTCAACAGAAGCCGGAGATGGTGTGTGTGGCTTTTCTTCCTACAGCAAGGTCTTTCCATAATCAATCTTTTCTCTCGCCCCCTGCTTTCCTAGCTGATGTCAGATGAGATGTGGGGGGGGGGGGAATGGACCCCAAAGATAGTGGGCGTACCCTACAAATTATATGAAAATGGCTTATTTGTATCTGTATTTCTTGTCAGATGACACAGAAAGAATCTCCAGGTTAGGAGAAGAGGGTGGCAAAGACCCCACCTTGGAGGTGCGAGGCCACAGAGGTGTACGTCCCCCCCCCCCGCATTTTATTTTATTTTATTTTATTTTAAGCATTTGTACACCTCTGTGCAGCCGAAAGTCTCCCAGAGCCGCTTACACGAGATCAAAACAAGGCAGTCCCTACTCGCAGGTTTACATTCTAACAAAGAAACAAACAAACATACTACACAAGGGAAAAGAGACAAGGGAGAAAGAGGAAGTAATCGAGAATTACTTCTGACACCTAGTTCCTACACGCAACTTAGAATGCCTTCTTCATCTATCAGCCTGGCTTGGGCTGCACACCTTCGAACACGTGACCTGAGAGTAAGTCCTACTGAATTCAGTGGGGCGTGCTCCTCTGTAGACACGAATACAGCCTTGCAGTGGAGGAGCACAAAGTTTCCTCTCGGACGAGGTTCTGATTGCCAGTTGCGCGAGGTTACGGTAAAGGTTGGCTAATCCGTGACACGCGGTCCTAAGAACGCGCCCCGAGGCCCATCATC